AGCGCCTAGAACTGGTTAATGATATACATACCAGTTATAACAATAATAATAGTGTTCCATTTGTCCATCCCTGTAAAATTTGTCGTTATAATAACAAGGCTGTCCATCTACCATAGGAAACGATATACATATCAATTTATATAAAATAATTATCAATCCAATACTGAAATAATTTTGCAAAAAGGCCTACATAGCCGGGTTCTGATATATATACATTCATGTAGCGACGATAAGAATTACAATATCATTATATTTACTTATGACTCAAATCTAAACAAAATTAGTGTTTTAATAGCGTCTAAAATCAGAAGCATCCATATAGGCCTACATAAAAAAATACAAGAAACCAGTTTTTTTTATACGGGCTTGCTAATGGCAATAGTCTCTATTTCTCTGTTTTATCCTCTTGCGAAAAACTAAAACGTATGCCAATGATGTGATGTCATGAAAACCATTATTTAGGCATGTCATGTTTTTATCAAATAAAATTTGATACTGTAGTCTAGAAAGGGCTTTAGAAAGAATCAGATAATTTTTTCTATCGTTATTGTGGCGCATTTTCTGTCAGTTGAATTGCTATCTGAGCCAGTAATAAGAAATCAGATAACCTGACTAACCTGGTATTTCACAATGTCTTCCATGAAAACCCGGAGAACACTGACACATAATCACAGTAGATAAAATGTCAATACAAGTTCCTCCGTTCTGGCAAGGAGATTGCTCACATAATGTTGTTGGTTCTGCAAAATAAAGAGCGATTTTTCCCAAAAAAAAAAAAAAAAAAAACCTCCACTGCTTCATTAAAAAGTCTCTTATGAAGCACGAATTGTTGCACATGTAATAAACCCGTTCTTTAAAATTGCGCTATATATTTATGACGCAAACCTAAGACCTCCAGAATTATCAGCTGATGTTATATAACCAGTACACCAATGAGGAAAACGTGACACATGGGTGGCGCCGGCGGAAGGAGGAACCGGGGACAGGGCCGCAGTTGGGGAGAGCTTTCCGAAATCTACTTCCCCCTCCCCACGTCAGGGAGAAAGAAAAACACGGAGATATATATATTTTATGTATTTTTAGCCTAAATTGTAATACTTTCCCCGGTGGCTTCGCCCCCTGGAGCACGTCTGAGAAATTTTGAGTTACTCCTTACCAAAACCAGCTACGCTCTCTTCGGGTATATCGGCTCCTGCCGGGGAGAGCGGACTCCCCGTCGGGAAAATCCTGGCGCCACTCCTGACATGACATGGCATTGATGATTGAATTCTACTCAATGATGATGTTTCTAAAAATAAAGTTTGCTACATTTTGATCTACCTGATTGCGGATCCGTGCACGATAACCCGCAGCCGTTGAAGCAGCATTTCTGGTTACCGTTACAATTAGCATCGTGCCGACACGTTTCTTCGCACGTTCCAATTTCAGAGAAAGTAGTTTCTGGACAAAATCCATATTTTTCTTCAGGCACTGAAATGTATTACCGTGAATTTAGCTCTGCCTTCTTATAGAGTATCGGGTGAGGGCTCTTCAATACACTTACAAGAAAGGCACACTGAGATGCAATTACTAAAGACTTGTCTGATATTTTTCATGCTTTAATAAATTGTATTATTGATTTGATTGCCTTTTATTGTATTTTAATAATTTTATTTATTTAAGATTGCTAAGGTTCATTGTAAAAAAAAATGGAGCACTATGTAATGGAAGTTTATAATATAGGCCTAAATGGATTCATTTAAATTAAATGCTTGATTTTGTTTAATGATTGGTTACTTTAAAACTTTATTGACTTTAATAAGATAAGTTGTTTAAAAAATAACCGTATGTTATAATTAACAAATATGTTGCGCTGATCATAGTTGATAAAAAAGTAAATGAACAAACAAAGAATTTTGAAATAATAGACATTTTATGAAAAAATACTGTTGTTAGCTTTTGCCGACTTCGTAGGATTTTCGGAATTGTAAATTCGTCACCCTTCAACCTAAATCCATCCATAGTGAATTCGGCCTCTCCAGCCTAGACCGAATTATATAGGAATTGTGGCTCTAGCTTTCAACATAGAATTCAACCGGAAGACCATCGAATAAACAATGTACGGTACATTAATCACACAAGGAAGGCAGAATTCACTGCGGATAAATGTCTATACTGGCAATTTGGCTGTAGAAATAACCAGCAATATACTGAAATGACAATACTATTTGAAAAAAAAAAACATACAGCAGATGGGGCAGCATTGATACGGTAGGTACACGGGGTTGGTACATGCAGGTTCTGGGCACGAATCGGTGATGTTACACGTTATTACACCATCTTTACACTCACACGGCTGCTTACAGATGTCATTAAAGGTGGTTTCGCCATTATATAACATCTCTTCACCATCATAGCAGGCATCGTCAGGTACTAACGTGTATATATATAAAAAATGTATCGTAATATTAGTCGTTTATATGATAGTAGAGTACAATAGTAGTAGTAGTAGTAGCAGCAGCAGCAGCAGCAGCAGTAGTAGTAGTAGAAATAGTAGTAGTAGTGGTGGTGGTGGTGGTGGTAGTAGCAGTAGCAGCAGTAGCAGCAGCAGCAGCAGCCGCAGCAGCAGAAGTAAGCAACAGTAATAGTAGTGGTGGCAGTAATAATACTAATAGTAATATGTATTAATTTCTTTAAATGCAAAAAGTAAAAAGATTGAAAGACTGCCTAAAAGGCTTGCTCCAGTAGAGTGAAATTAAAAAAAGAATAAAACAATCTGACTTTGCTTTATTCGATTTTTGAAGTAAATTGAAAGTTTTACTATTTCAAGACGTGATATGATATAATAATATAATCCATATTAACGGTCGACGATAATAAATATAAGAATGGACTTGTTGTTGTGTACTCACCTACAATTTGGCAATCCACTCCTGTGTAGTGCCGCGGGCAAATACACTCATAGAAATCATTCCATTTTGAACACAACCCACCATTCATGCACGGAGATGATAAACAAGGATCTTAAGACAAGCAAGCAGCACAAAAATTGAAAATATTAGTAAAAAAATAAGTAGGAAATAACAGTAATTAAAAAACTTGAGACCTTGTTTTCTTGAAAATGAAAATGAAAAAAATCACCTCGTATCTTAATTCAAGAAAACAAGGTCTCAACGTTTTTAATTACTGCTATGGGTAGGCCATATGTATTTAATACAGTATACTAATAGTATACTGTACTTTTAGTATTTTTTTTTACTAGGAAAGTAATAATAATAATAATAATAATAATAATAATAATAATAATAATAATAATAATAATAATAATAATAATAATAATAATAATAATAATAATAATAATAATAATAATAACCACCCAGCACTTTTAATGACCATAGAAATTAATACATAAGCGGAGATTGTTCACTTCGGGTAGTTACACATATAAATACAGGTCCGTAGGCAGGGGGTTTTTTTTTCGATGGTGAGTAGGTTTGCGAGTGAAGCTATTGCCTTAGCTGGGTCCAGGGTGGATCTTTTATAATTTGGGGGTGCGTCCGCACCCTGCACCCCTTCCCACTGCCAAAGGCCTGAAATAGCATGGTTAATGATATTCAAATTATAAACATGCATGAATCGTTCACAAATCGTTTTGTTTGCTCACCGCAAAATTTAGAGATATTAGGACTCACACAGACCGTGACGAAGCAATGTATGTCCACGAAGCAAAGTATTGTTTATTTCAGGTCGTTACACACATATACAGGTTTAAGCTAATATTTGAATTATTATCATACACAAGTCGTTTTTCTCTCTCTCTCACACATCAACACACACTCACAGAATGTAGAAACAACGCAGACCGTGACGAATAATTTACAGTAATTTAACTTCAGAGTTGAGTAATAATAATAATAATAATAATAATAATAATAATAATAATAATAATAATAATAATAATAATAATAATAATAATAATATGATAGTAATACATTTTCATTTAACAATATACTTTTGGGCGTCATCTGTTACATACGGTAGTGATGCGGCGTTCTTTTGTTCAAAATATTGTATCGTAACTGTCACGTACATCAGCTATTGTTAAGTAACTTAAACGTCACACAGTAATTACTAATCCTAGAATGAGTTTTTTAAATGGTGTGATGACTGAGCTTTTTGACATTGCAGCCATACTGTTGTTATTCCTATTCTATATTTTCTGCGACCATTAAGCTTTCCAGCTTACTCCACTATGTTTGAGCATAAGTGCAGTTCAGGGAGGGGGAATACAGGCACAATAGGGTATCCACACCCACCTCAGCCCCACCATTTTTGGGACTGAGTTAAGCAAATTTTAAGAAGAGGCACCCCTAGATGCACGAAAATGACACTCTCAGACAGTAAAAATGCTTTTTCAAACCAGTTCTCCTAAAAAAAATTGCGGGAGTTGTGCTCCTGTTCCCATAGACAACCCTCCCCTCACGAGCGTCGCGAAGGCATAATCGAGAACCTATAGTCTATTCTAAGCTATGAGGCGCAAAGCTCTAAAATTATAACCCGCAGTCCGAAAGGAGGATTTATGAGAGGTGTACCCTAGGGCCCGGATCAACCATGGTTTACATGTATTATAATATTAAAGGCATAGGACAACAATATAGGGTAAAAAGAAGGGGTAATCCGAATACAATA